GGAAGCCACCAATGGCTCCTCATCGGAGAGAACAGCGGTTTCGGCGTAGAGCCGCAACGCGTCTAAAAGAAAGAAAGCAAAAGACGTGTAAGCACTCTGCACCTCGTCATCGTCGTCATTGTCATCATCATCATCATCATGCCTCGTGAGTGAGACGGTAGGCAGTGGTACCTGCCAAGGTCGATCGTGCATCCGCTCTGATATCATCTTCGCTGGGCGCTTGTTGAAGGCTTTTTCTGAAGTAATCGAGCGCTTGCTCGTACCAATGCCTCAGCCCTGAACGAAACGCCCAAGCATATTCAACTAACCGGCACCACACAACTCACTCACGCAAACACACGCGCAAACACACGCGCAAACACACCACACACCACACACCACACACCACACACCACACACCACACACCACACACCACACACCACACACCACACACCACACACCACACACCACACACCACACACCACACAGACGACTGACGTACGTTGGCCCAGTTGAGGTAGGTGGCCGCAGAGCGTTCCCCCGCATCTACCCAGTGTTTAACGTACTTGCGCTCCACTTTCCTGTTGTCCAGGGCCTCCATCAGTCTTCAACACACGCGTATCCATCGTACACGCACACACCAAAATAAAGTGCCTGCTTGCGAGAGATAGAGAGGAAGCAGCACCACCGCAACCAGAACACGTGCTTCCATGAAGATACACCGCGCACCAGAGGCAAATCGCTCCTGTACTCCCGTTCGCCCGCTGCCGAGGCCGTCCATTCAAGTCCGTAGAGTCCGCCGCCATTGTCTGATGGACATGTTTGGTTGGTTTGGGCGAAACTTGGGGCGCTACGCGTTTTGGGGGGGGGCAGTTACGAGTCGGGATCGGCCAGGGCGAGGAAGAGAAGCGAAACGCAGCGCGAGATGAGGAGGTCGCGAGGGTCGTCGAGGAACCACACGCAGTGCTGCAGCACTTCCGCTGGCCGCTTCCAAGCCGCATTTCCATTTATGTCTTTTTTTAACGGAGACAAAAATAAGGAAAATAAAAAGAGACACCTTTTTGCAGACACTAATTAATAACTCAAACTCTGTAGGGTACTCTGCAGCAAGATGGACGAGTTGTGGCGGCAAGCTGGCACGCTTGCCTCGTCCTTGTGCTCTTTCATCCTCGGCTCCTCACCATCTTGCAATTCCTTTTTTCATCTTCATCTTCGTCTTCGTCCTCGTCTTCTCGCACAGCACCGACGCCCACCCGCGGCCTCTGCCCTCGACCTCACCCTCCGTTTCT